TGCTTGTCTGCTAGAACCTGTTTAGCTATGAGCTGTTGCCCTGAATACTGACAGTGAGTTACTCAACTCTTTCTTGTAAGTGTGGGTGACATTTTAAAGCAAAATCCTTGAGCATGGTGGGAACAAATTAGCTAGTTTTGTTATAGTATAAAAAGATTGACTGTTAGCTTTGTCATGCCAATATAAATGCATTCATACAAACTTAAAAGAATGGAAAACTTTGAGAATTTTAACTAAAGTGAAGAATCGACTGGAGGCTAGAGATTAAAATAAAATTATGTTGTGGATCAGATCACATAAGGAAAAGAACTGATTGTAATCTCTCAATTCTCTCTTTGTAGAATCCAAACTAGAAGGTAAATATTCTAAATTGTTTAAGCATAGAAGCCTGCAGACTATTCTATTTATTTGCCTACTCTAAATGAGCAGATTGTAGTCACAATAACAAAATGTCCGTAGTACAATTAAAATTGTTATAATAAACAATAAGTATTCTCCAATACTAACCATTAATAAAATCATAAAATAGTCAAAAAGCAATAAAAATGATAATACGTATAAACTGAATACCCTTTTAACCAATTCTATTTTAATGATATCCTGAAGCCTAACAAGGTAGGAGATGATTGGATTTCAGGGACGAGGGAGTGCTAGAACATTGGTACTGACATCGAGAAACAGGGTTTATGGGCTTCTATCCCCTTAAGTTCATGGACTATTTGTAGCCTTTCTAAAAAAAATTTTTTTAAACATTTTATTAGATTATAGAATAAAATACAAAAATACAAAAGCAAATAATAGGACACAGTGGGGAGGGAAAAGCGAAAGAAAAGTGAGAAAAGGCATTGACTTCTGATTCCTTCTATTGCAGTAGAATAAAGCATTAACATTGAACCTCAACTTTTTACTTTTCCATAATAGTATAAACCAGCCATTTCTATGACACAAATCAATCTAATTAGTAAAACCCAAAATCAAAGTTTCATTTTTTTCCACTTCAAGCACAAAGTCCAGAAGCAATCTCCAAATAGAAACAAAAGTACGGTACTTATATTATTTTCTTTACTCAAAATGGTCAATTTGGTCATCTCTGCCAACTCCATCAGTTTCTGTCGCCATTTGTCCATAGTGGGAATCATAGCCTTGTAGCCTTGTCAAAGTTGGACAAGTCAAAGTTGAGAAAAGGAAGCCATCCTAGAAATACCCTGATGCCAAGCCCAGTGGTGGGATTCAGCCAGTTCAGCTGAACTGGTAGCTAATTTTTTGTTGCCCAGGCCAGAATGGATTTCTGGTAGCGCATCCACACATAGAACTGGTTGTTCACATATTTGAATCCCACCACTGGCCTAGCCATGTAGGATTTTAAAGCCAGAGCTGTGAGTTGGGCAGCCTTATAAATCTAAATAGTAAATAAATAAAACCAAGACTTTAAGATGCTGATAGAATCAAAGATAAAACCTAGAACTAGATGTGATATGCCTATTTGGCAAGTATCTGCCTACACCTAGCCACTGCACTCTAGATTAATTGAAACTTCTGTGTGGTATTCAAAGACACAAAGACACTAGGATTTATTAGTCGATCACACATATATTTAAAAATTGGCCTGCAATGTATATTACATGAAGCAGCTGCTGTGAAGTTTGCTGTAGGTTTGTTTAGGTTTTATATAAGAGAAGAAGAGGATGATCAACTACAAGGTGGATAGACTCAGTTACAATAACAATTGTGCACAAATGGAAGATCTGAAGACCAAGTTAGAAGAAAATCTAGTAATGTGGTTGCTAAGAGTCAGCACAGATTTGATGGCACTTTACCTACCTTCCTTCCTACCTTTCTTTTAGTATTTTTATCAATAATAGACTAAAATGAAAGGGGAAAAAAGATTAAAAGCAGTTAAGAATAGCATTATGACCCATTCTGTTCAAATCACATAATACTATTAATGTGTAAGAACCAAACCCAAATATTCCTTTTGCAGGCACAAGACATTTATGCTATATTCATATAGATCCTCTTATCTCTTCTGGTTATCTTGCTTGCCTTGGGACAATTCATTTCCGCTTTCATAAATCAGTTTGGTTCTAGAGTCATTGCATTTTCAGTAAATCTTCCCTTCAGGCTTGGTTTCTGCTCATAATGCAGTTGTTCATTTCCTAATTCATACTTCTTATTAAGATTTGCAGTTTCTATTTTAAGACCTTCAATCAATATTAAAAAGGCTCAAAATACATTAGTATATTCACCCTCAATCTATATATGAAAAGCTCTAAAGAAAAGTGAGAGCCTATATAAGATCTCTTGGACTAGTCGCAATTGTTACCGGTGATAGGAATATTACTGGAAATTCAAAATATTTTAAGTATCAAATACATAATTCTGCCAATTAGTGGATCTGTCTGACTGCAACATTATGTACGTGTTCATTGAAACTAATTAATCTCTAGTAACTTTGTTTTGTAGCTTGATGACATTTTGTGCTGTCATCACTTTTGTGGTTAAAGATAGTTAAATTAATGATAATTTTGTGAAACATTTGTTGTATTTTACAGAGGTTAATCCTGATTTTCAAGAAAAATAGAAATAATAGTGCCTTTGGATATAATAAATTTAGAATGTATCTTAGTAGTACAGTAAACACATCATGAAAATCCACAGCAAGTCCTGACATTTTTTCCCCCATACATCATTTATGGCAAAGTAGCCGGCAGAACCCAGCTGTAATCCTTCGAGGAACATGATTAAACACAGTAAAGTTTAGCTCTAAGTAAATATACATTCTACTTGACTGTATCCTTTACACAAGTATCCTCTACTGCATGGAAATGATGTCTACATCAGAATTTAATGTTAGGAATAGTAACCCTTAGCAATGTAAATGAGATGAAATGCAGGAAAAGGGGGTCCACTGGAATATGCATCAAATTGTATTGCTTTCTGATGTCCATTTGCACTGCAGTAATTGCAAACCCTGTAAGTTAATTTTACTTATCTCCTTTTAAACTAGTAAAGACAATTATATTTTTATTACCTACTAAATGTAATCAGTAACTCAGTAACTCTAAATGTATTGTGTACAATAATTTAGAATGTTATCTTAAGTTTGAACTGTACATTGTTATAAATAACTGCAGTTTATTATTGTTGAACAATTATTTTATTGTATATCTATTGTGCTCATAGTGATAAATATATAATAAAGCTACTACCATTTCTCATTGCATTATCCCAGATTTTGACTGAACCAGTGAAGCAAATGTTTTCAAGAACAGGGGTCCCAAACCTGTGGGCCCCAGTCCACTAGTGGGCCATGAAGGTATTGTAACCGGGCTGCAGAAATGCATCATTTGCGCAAGCAGCACTAGATGAGCATGTGCATCCATAGTTACTGGCCGCTCACGTGGAAACATCCCCTCTCCCCCCCCCCACTGGAAAGATTGGGGAACTCTGTTCAAGAAGACAGTTATCAGAAATATATTTTCACATTACAGGTTTGCATGACAAACCTGTAGAGTATATTGATTTAAAGCTTTTTGCAGATGAACCTATTAGCTTTTCTTTTTAGATTTAGCAGAATAAGATGAGACTTGATAAGCTTTTGATTTGTCATGGGTTCTTCAATTTGGACTTTCCAATTTAATCTTCATTTGTACCACAGCTTAGTTGCTCACTTGCAATTAAAATTTCAAAGTGCTTAATGTATAGATAATCTCCTTTAAACCGGTAGGCTAATAGGCAAATCCTGATGACCTATTTTCCATGGTTCATTGTTTCTTCTAAATATGCCCGATTCTTTGTGCTGTCTGGTTTCTCCACTGCTGTTTAAGTTTGTTTGTTTTATATAATCTATCAAAGATTAAGCTCCCCATTAAGCAAAGAGACATATCTAAAATAAGGTGTAGGTTTTTTCAGATTTGTTTGTTAGGGCAAAACTCACTGGCAGACAAGGCAAGAAGTATATTAACAGACACAGAAAAACTCATGATTAGGTAAAGTTCTGTGAAACCAGCATAAGAGTGGAAGTGTTCACTGAATTGTGAGTTATAGTAAATATATAAGTAAAGTGTCTCATTGCTAGTCAAATTAATCTGTTAGTTCTTTTCTAGAACCTTTTTTTAATTAGTGGAAGTATGGAAATTTCAAATAATTAGTGAAATATTTAGTGATAATAAAAATATATGACAGAGTTTTTAATCATTAAAGAAATATTTTAAAATAAAGTTTCTTAAAATAGTTTCTTAAAATAGGTCTATCAATATAATTATTAATCTCTCATGATAAGCTTATATAATCACATTCCATTCTTCACATGAGTTATTTCAAAATATATTACTTCAGATCCAACCAACTATGTGGAATAGTCTCCTACAGAGCTGTAATGCAACTTTCTATTGTATAAAATTAAGCTATATTATAGATTGATGAATCACATTCTCTAACAAGTTCCATGACTCCTCATAGATCTAGACAATAAGAAACAGAGATAAAAAATATTTTAAGAGGAATACTTAATTCACATTCTATTTTCACCTTCTTTTAATGTAGCTTTTCCAGATATTTGAACTGCAGGGATTAGTCCAGGCAGTTGCTACAGTTAAGAGTCAAAACTGATTCAAAATCACCAAACTGACCAAACTCTTGCATGTGCTAAACAAAATGGCACTATATTTTATCTATTTTATCCAAGCAAACCTCAGGTAAGATAGGCAGTGTTAAGAAAGAAAGAAATCATATTCAAATGATTGAGTTTCAGGATGAATACTGATTATGTGCTATCAAGCCAATGTTGACTCTTCATGACACATAAGAGATTTTCTCCAAAATCCAAAAGAATAAAAATAAATCTGGAAATCAAGGACCAATAGTATCCATCCACATTATTTCTTTGTGTTCTTTTTTAGTAGACAGGATAGAAAAAATTCTCCTTCAGCTTTCACTTCTTAAACAGGTTTAATTAAATTTAAATATGATTCTACCAAGTTAGCAAAATAAATGCTAGTTTATTTCAGATAGTTAACAAGTCTTAAAGCCCTTTAGTTTTATGGCCTTTACATACATCATTTTATAAAGATTTACATGTTCTTGAATTAAATTCCATTTCTTCACATGCATGATACTGATGACCAATTATGCTATATGGAGGGGCTTTTTTTTATTTCCAATTGTTTGTATTTAAGTCTTAATGCCCCTTAATGAAGTCTCTCCCAAAATGTAACTCTCTGGATACTTGCAATTAAAATCCCAAAGTGCTTTGGCTCTGCTGGCTCAGGCTAATAGGAGTTATAGTACATCACAGCTGGAGAATGATCACCCAGTTTTCTAGCTTATTTATTTATTCATTTTGACACCACCATTAATTTGTTAGAAACCAATCCTAGTTTCATTTACCTAGGAAACTCACAGAGCACAGTAAGATTAATTTCTGAGCAAACAACTACTAATGATTTTGAAATGCAGTCTTGTGCAACAGACTAACCCAGCTTTCCAGATCTATTAAAAATCCGCCTAGACTTATTTTAAGTTTGCAGGAATGCCTAATATTTCCTGAAAGCATCTGGTAATAATTTCTTTCTACTCCGTTTCCCCCTCCACATGGAAAAGCCTCCCCCTTTCTCAAGTTTAAACGGATCTAGCAAGTTAATTTAGAAAACACAAGCTGAAAATGCAGAAGGAGCGACTTGAAAATCAGAAAATCTTCTCAAACCCTCGTGACCTCTTCCAGCAAGCAGGGCAAAAAAAAAAAAAAAAATTAGCAATGAAAAGCAACCACACGCCGCCCGTGAGAGCGAATGAATGAAGACAACCCGGTCCGGCAGAGACGGAGGGGCATGGCGTGGCTCCGCGACCGTGCTTGGATCTTCGCAGCACCGAGTGGGAGAATTGATTACCTTCGAGGTTCAGAAAACAGGAAGTGGGCGGAGCAAATGGTTATGACGTACCTAGGGGCTACCTCAGTTCAACAATTCGGCGGCGAGGGGAGGTTGGGCTTCTGGGCACGCGGCGGGTGTGCGCCAAAGGAGGCGGAGTCTGCTCCTGCCGCCGCCCGCCTTCGTTCTTGGTTTCTGGCCCTCCCCCTCCTTAAAGCGCGGCCCATCCTCCCACGAGCCGCATTAGCGGCGGCGCTTCGGGTGTCAGGCAGCGCCATTGGGCGGAGAACCTGCGCGCTCGGGTTCCCTCTTTTCTTCCTGCCCGCCTCGGCTGGTCCTGTGACTGGAGGCGGCGGAGCTGAGGCTCCCAGCCCGTTTCTTTTGCTCGCCCCTCTGGTCCTAACCGAGTCTCGCTTAAGGGCGCCGTCGCCACCACTTCAGTTCCGAAATGTTTGACAAGACGCGGCTCCCTTATGTGGTGCTGGACGTGGTCTGTGTGGTCCTAGGTATGTTTCGGGTTTGGCAGCGTGGGGATCTGGAGAGGAAGGGGAGGCGCCTGGGCACCTCAGAGGAGATGCGCCACCGCTGCGCACTTGTCGGTTTGCCCACCCGACGCGCCCCTATTGTGGCTGCCAGGGCTTCCCTGGCCGGCTCTTGAGGCAACTCCTCAGCTTCTGTTCCTGCGGTTACCCCCGGGAATCCATGAGGCATATGTACGTGTTTGGGTGAGGGCAGTGAATGGGTAGACCGTCTGAATGAATCGTGGGGTGGGATGGGGTGTGGAAGGTATCTCCCGCATTCTTTTTATATGCCTATACGTACATATGCAGCGAATGTGTATCTGGGGTAGTTTGCTTTCCCCTGCATGGTGACAGGCTAATCTTTGCCTTGCATCTCTGGCCTTGCCGAAAAGCTTGGGGAGGATTTGGAAAAGGGTTAATAAATGCAGCATTTTTTTCATTTTAGGTTTGTCTGCTTCTGCTGTTGTCGCTGCTTTCTTTGCGTTCATCTGTTCATCTCCTTGCTTACTGGCTAGCTTCGCATCAACCCCCATCTCTCACCTAGATAAACTTGGTCACTGGAATTCTGCTTAAATCAGGGTTATTCAAGTTGGCTAATATAACAAATGGCTTGAATGAGTGGTGTACAGAGAAAGAGTTGAAAAAAACCATCTTGATGTGCTGGTAGATGGAAAATCACAGCTACATTTTGTGTGCATGCTTCTTCAACCTGGTGCCCTCATCATCTGGTGAAGTCAGTTGCATTTGGTGGGTATCAGACAGGAGAAGATTGATGTACATTTAGTAAGCTGAGTTTTGAAATAAAGCAGTTGATTTCTTCTCATATGAACATACTTTTATGTAAAAGGATAAATAATTGATGAAGTTGCACATTGATGTCCTACAATACACTTTTTAATGGATTTTTTTATGGGTGACTCTACAGCTACTCTTAGGGCTAGGATTACAAAATATATATACTATATCACTATTTGCTGACAGTACTTTTTCATTTTTGCAGTATGAAGAATCATAATGTAATCAAAATGTGTACGTATGTATTTAGCAAAGTATAAGCTTAACCTTAAAAATACGTCTTGTCTAGCTTTAAATTTTGTTACTGCGAAGTATCTAGTTTTAGACTGACACATTCCTGGGTGTAATATTGAACTACTAGCTTTGGTTGTTGCTAAATATTTATAAATGTTACTTTAGGTAAGAGCAGTGTAGTGATGGCAGTCCACTGTCCTCTGTTAAATTCATCTGATAATTTTAGAAAGGCCTTGATGGAGATTTATTTCATTTATACTATTTCATATCCATTAAATAGGAGATAATTGATTTTGGACCAATAAAATATCTGCTTTAGACTAACTGAAGATTTACTTCTGTGGAAAGGATGGGAAAGTCTCACACCATATAAGTTTAGCAAATAATGAATGTTTCTATGAAATCTATTGAAATATAGCATAACATTTTCAAATAGTAATGTTCCTAACCATTCTTTAATAGATAAATACTTTATAGGGTGATATGGTTAATCTTTAGATAATTGAATCAATTGACCAATGTACACTTTGATAAATTATATGATCTAACTTGATGAGACAACAGTTCTGAATTAAGTATGTCCAAATAGTTAATATTGTGATCCAAATCTAAGATAACAGGTATTGAATTTATCTCTACATTGCAAATTAGCCTTTTTAATTCTTAATCTTTGCTGATTAGTGCTGATAGTTTGATATTGCCTTTCTTCAGCACATTGAAAGAAGATGGGCAAAATTAAGATAACAATATTTCATAGCTAAGTATATTTCAAAGCTGAGTATGACTTTGGAAACACCTATAGTTCATGTTTCTGGAAGAGGCTCAGATGAGCATACTGAATAATATTGCAGGATTAGTTATGTAATGGCTCAGGAAAAAAAAATCCCAAAGCATCTTAAAAGCCTTTTCTGCCTTCCCATTTGAAAATTTTGGAAAGAATAAAAACTTCCAGTGAAATATTTTATTTGGGAGAAATGGATGCAGGTAAGACAAGATAATCTAAATTCCTTACTTTACCAAAGTTTTTATTAGTTTGTAATAGGATGACATTTATATAGTGTGTCAGAACACTGGAGCCGGTGCACCAGAGGACAGGTACTTCTGTATTGTATAACTCTAAATGTTAGTTAGAGCAACATGCATGGCTGCTGCTAAGCAGCATAGCCCTTTCTGCCAAAGAAGGAAGAATTCAGTACATTATTTGCTTATGTGTGTGTATTGTTGCTTATCTAGAATCTAATGGATCTGCTCCTGACTGAGGTTCATTGCTTCTATTGTAGGAAAAAAACAAATATTTAAAAGTACATTCTATTAGTCAATTTAGTTATCTAATTAAATTATACTTTTACATTGTACAAATATGCCAAATCTGATAATTGTGTGAATGAACCAAATTAATTTAGATGGGGATGAAGGATTCAAACAAGACCAAGTGGCAGTGAGTTCTTGGAGCATGTAGTTCTTGGGATCATCTACCTCTGGTTTTGAATGGAGTTGTACTGGGACTCTGTGAAGTCTTGATTTTCCTGGATTCTCATACCTGTTTGAAAGCAGGTGGCAGCTTGCAGACTTGTGCACCAGTTGTATCCAGTATTGGCCTTGGAGACTCTTTGTATAGTCAGATATACCTTGGTCACCTTGTAGATATAATATTGAAATGTGCTGTACATGAGGCTCCCTTGAGGATCACTCAGAATGTGCACCTGATGGAAAATTCAAATGTGCAAACAGTGATGGGCATGCCTTTCTATGCCCATGTACCAGGCCTGTTCTGGTAGCTGCAGTGGTTACCAGTAAGCTTCCAGGTGTAATTCAAAAGTCTGATTATTACCTTTAAAGTCTTAGAAGGCCTAGTCATCAGAGCTATCTATTTCCTGTGGGATCTGTCCGTCCTGTTTGAAACAACCTCCTCTGTTAGTTTCACCAATGTTATCTAACATAATGTAGGAAGCACTCCTCCTCTGGGACTATAAAATATGATGAAATAGTTATTTGTGAGCCTACCATATATTTTTTTAAACAAGATTTAAAAATTTGACTCTTCCTCCAAGCCTTGGGTCAGTGAAGGTCAGGCATGTCAAGCTCGTGATGTCACATGACGTCGCGTGACATATCATGACTTTTCCCCCATTGCTGGCAATGGGGTGGGCGTGGTTTTAGTGTGACGCATCTGGCCCGTGGACCAGCAGTTTGACATGCTTGGTGAAGGTTAAAGCCCTTTGAAGTTGAGGGATGGATGGAGCATTCTTTTTTATAAGAATATCCTTTTTACGACTGTTTCCCAATATAAGACAGTTCTTTTTAATTGAGAGCTACCCAGAGTCATTCTAGAGTTGGGCAACCTAGAACATTCATGCATAAACAAAGATACTACATAAAATATTCATAAAAGAGGAAAAATGAACTTAGAGCAATAAAGAATAACACAAATATTGGATACATTTCAGATTTTCCCAAAATTTTGATTAACCTGCAACCTCCTTCCCCACCCTACAGGTGTTTTCACCATGGCTTCAAAGTGTCTGGAAATTTTCTATTTCAATAAGGAAAGTTTCATAATTTATGATATGTGGATTACAGAAATAATAGAGGGTTTTAAATGAGGTGTTCAGGATCATTGTGTGTTGAATATAATTTCTTTAGTTATAATTCACTTTATAAACTATGTCATCTTCTTGATAGGTTTTGCTGATCAGATAATTTGATCTGAGTTTTTGAGAAGAAAACATAAATCTTGACTAAGCATTTGGAGTCATAGTTCCTAAATGTAGAACCACATAACTTCAACTGCAGAAAGGGAATGGGAGTAGATAGATAGATAGATAGATAGATAGATAGATAGATAGATAGATAGATAGATAGATAGATAGATAGATAGATTTAAATATTAATTACAGCATTTATAATTAAAGTTGCACCTCTTTTGGGCTTCTAGGTAAGCTTCAGAAAGGATAAGTTACATCTGTAATGCATCTAATGAGACTAATGAGACACTTAAAGCAACAATCTTTTTCAGATGGAAAAAAAGTCATGCCTGCTTTAATGAAAAGCTGATGCAAAGTCTGAAGCAACTTGCAGATTTTTTTTGAAACACATATAATCCCAAAGTATATCCCTTTTCATTGTTCTAAATAATTTTCTTCCTAGTGGAGCTAATAGAGCAGTTCAAGTATTAGATTTTCATTTGGGTTTACTCTTATTTAATTCCAAAGCTGTGAATAATTTAAATTCAATAGCAGTTCAGATTTGTTTGACCACTTCCTATAATTCTAGTACCAAAAATAATGCTAGAGTAGAACTGAATCAGTATGGTTCTTAGTTGTAAAGTGATTAAAATAGTACACTTGAGACAAATCATAATTTATATTCTGAAATGTATAGATAATAAATGGTGATTCAGATTGAGAAAAGATTTAGGAAAAGAGGATTGGGAAGCAGCACTCCAAACTGTCTTCTGTGTTGATTCTGCTGTGAAGTTCTGTGGAGTTTAAGTGCATTAATTCCATCTAGATTTCATACAAGATCGTACAAGCTACAAATGCAGAATTTAATTAAGATTATGTCATGATTGATTTTTTTTCATGGCTATTGGAAAAATATTTAGCAGTGAAGTTACCATCCTCACAAACACATACTATAAGAAAGCCAAAGTTTCTCAACCTCAGCAACATTAGATGTATGGATTTCAATTCACAGAATTGTGGGAGTCGAAGTCTCCACAGCTTAATATTGCTGAAGTTGAGAAAAACTGGATTAGATGAAAATGCTGGAGTTATTTTTTCTTTTTCAAGTCACTACTGAATGCTTTGATCCTATGACTTCTAATCTCTCATGTAATGTAGAACTGAGCATTGACATTTCTCTATGTTTGTAGATGAGTGATACAGTACCCCATTCCTCATTGACTGAATGACAGCACTTTTGTTAACTTATGAATCATAAGATTCTGGGATCTT